CTTTTATTACAGTCGTGACTAAAACAGTACTATTACATACACATTCGCTGCGTTCGTAAAATATTGTTTTCACGCTCAAGATAAAATTAACATCTTCGCGCTGCCGTGTACTACCCTCTATATACTACACTAAATGTGGAGAAATAAAAGTTCAAAGGATGAAGACTGTATTGAAAATCTCTACAAAATAGGAGTATAAAAGAGTTGACCTCCAAAATTTGTTGCGAAATCTAGCGTTAAAGCCTACTCTCATGACTCTTTTTTAAACGTAAAGTGGCACACTGCCTTATTCATGAAATTGCAGAAATTATATTTAATTTCATTTTGAGTGTTATGTATGCATGGCCGTAGTTCTTGTTTGTCAATTCACAGTCATAATGTTCGAAACAATTGTTTATAGAGCAATATAGAGGGTCGAAACGTAAGGGTAAAAACACCGTCCTGAAGTCTATAAACGTGATGGAGCTTGCAAGTGTGACAAAGACTTGCAAAAGTACTATGCTTAAGACTAGTTAGGCCTACATCCCAAACACAATTGCACCGCTCTGCCCCTACAATACCACGCTTGCAAACAGAATTCGCATTTATTCATTAACAGTCCAACGGCGGATCACACTCTTAAATTAAAGATGAGTCTTGTATTTGTATATACATATGCCAAGTACTTAGGAAGCGGTCATTAAGTATAGTGTGATATGGGGCCACTTGGAAGAAATCGTCACACGTGCCACAAATTATTCAACATGTTGCATTTTCGGCGCCGATAGCATGCGTTAAGATAAACTCTCAGAACATCACCACGCACTGGAGGTGTTTGCGCACGCTAGTAGCCACGAGTTATATTTTACTGCACATAGCTCTAGTGTGCACCGGGCTTAATACTAATATGTCAATAACAAAACTGTGGAATGACGGTGCAACATCACTATAATTATAAAGTCATGATAAAACTGTATTTAGCAGTTCCAACAAAATGTAGCAGTTGTATTTATCAATATCAAAACCGGCAACTAATACTCTTAATTAAAGCAAGCAATACAATAATCCATCATGATCAGTCGTGACATTAACCAAGCTATCAGGCTACGAGATTGGTCCCAATTGCTACCTCTCCTCTTGTGGAGGAAAGATCATGGCTGGGGCTGGTCACGTGTCACGCGGATTTCGCGTGATAAATTAAAAATGTTATTAGGGTAGGGTGGCAGGGGAGCGCGCTTGGAAAATTACTACTTGTGTAGTTGTGTATATTGTAGTTTCGGCCAATAACATTTAAATTTGCAACAAGAAATCCTGAATCATTTCGTATTTATTATGACACGACTTCTTTTACATCGTCAAAATGTTTTGAACTGTGGCTCAGTTCTCAACTGAGCAATTCTCAACCATTATTTAAATCCATTGTATAACAGTGCATAATGGGTCGTTAACAGTCTATAACCATGTTTACTACACAGCTAAAAACGATCAGGTTCTTGCAATATTGATAAAACAGGATTGTTGTGCGGCCCACATTGTTTACAGTTGTCAACCATAGATATAGGAGATCTAGATTGCTAACGCATACCTAGCGCAGGCGGGGCCTACATGATAAATCCAAGATGGCGGTACAACAGGGCAAAAAGACTATAGATTCTATTACGAAAATCAGGATTTTTGCATTTTTGCCGTCGCAAGTGTTCGGTCAAATTTTATGGTAAAGAGAAATTTACTGCGAAGATTTTGAGCATATATATGATTGAATTGGATGAACTCGCAAAATTATCCAGCGATAAATGTTCGTGTGAAATGGTCAGTTGGTCAGTTGGAGCGTTTTATTGCCAGAAATGCTGTGCTATGTTAACATCTAGCCTTATGAATGGTGTTTTATACTTGCATCTCTCATCATCATCTGCTCTGTCCTCATAATTTTGAAAAATGAACTGTTATGTACCCCCCCTCTCCTTGCTTGTTAGAGAAGTAAACTGATGAGAGCACTGGATGAGGATCTATCATCTATGGTCTGTTATAATTTACTTTTTATGCAAATAGTGAGCAAAAATTAAAGCAAAACTGTACAAGTTACATATATAGTACTATAATAGTACTATACACGAACTTTTATCGATGGATAATTTTGCGAGTTTTCATCCAATTCAATCATATATATGCTCATAATCTTCGCAGTAAGTTCCTCTTTACCATAAAAGTTGACCGAACAAGTTTCAAAACAATGCGACGGCAAAAAAGGCAAAAATCCTGATTTTCGTAATAGAATTTATAGTCTTTTTGCCCTGTTGTACCGCCATCTTGGATTTATCATGTAGGCCCCGCCTGCGCTAGGTATGCGTTAGCAATCTAGATCTCCTATATCTATGTTGTCAACAATGTTAAACAATGATGCTTGTGATGTTACTCTGACTGTATATATATCCATAGCGGTAAGCTCGAATAATATGCCAGGCCACGGTGGGAATCGAATCTACGACCTTGGGAATACTCGCCCAATGCTCTGCCAACTGAGCTACGCGGTCAGGTCGGTTCGAGTATGTGATATTTCAGAACTGAGTCTAGTTCCTTCGATATCGATATAATCTAGTAATCATTAATTTTTTCTGTGTTGGTGTGCACTCAGGTGGATATGATGCTTGTGATGTTACCCTGAGTGTATATCCACACCGGGCAAGCTTGAAAAATATGCCTGACCACGATGGGAATCGAAAGTACGACCTTTGGAATACTAACTCAATGCGACTGAGCTACACAGTCAGGTCGGTTCGAGTATGTGATATTTCGGAACTGAGTCTAGTTCCTTCGATATCGATAGCAGTATTCCAAAGGTCGTACATTCGATTCGCACCGTGGCCAGGCATATTTTTCAAGCTTGCCCGGTGTGGATATACACTCTGAATAACATCACAAGCATCATATTCACCTTAGCCCGCGTGCAGGCCCAGGGAAGAATAGTGGGCCTGCAAGCAAGATTCGGTATGTTGTAAAACGCCCCTTTTCATAACACGCGCCATAGAACCAATGACAGCGAGAACCAATGACAGCGACCCAAATATTAACAAACAAACTCGCATTAAAAAGCAAGCAAGGCAGCAAGGGCGTCAATCCATCCCAAAAAGCGAGGGGTGGGGGGGGGGGCGCACTCCAAACAAGAAAGGTCCGGAGGTATACTACTCGAAAATGTTTTTTAAATTTTGGTACACTGAAACGGCATTCCAGCGTTTAGGAGTGAACTATTTTCACAGTGAAATATTTTCCATATCTTCACTAGTGAAGATATCGATCGCGTGACTTTTTCCAATTTGCTTTTGCGCGTGAAATTTCACAATCTTTTCGCCTGGGACGACTATATATAATAATTATACAGAACATTACACGGTGGCTTGAAGATATGACTTTTAATTTATCTTCTCGTGTTAAAAACAATATTTTACTGACTCGCTGCGCTCGTTCGTAAAATATTGTTTTCACCACTCGAATTATAAAAGTCATATCTTCGCACCGCCGTGTAATATCCTCTATATATTACAATGTGCATGATGTTAAATCCATTTTAAACCATGTGAGAAATCCACTAAAAACCATCCTAGCCTGTGAACAGACGTTACTCTAAGCGCGCGCTTCGTCGAGAGTAACATCTGTTCACAAGCTAACATGACCTCACCCCCCCCCCCCCCCTCCAGGATTGACGCCCATGAAACGCAGTCAGTAATTGCCAAATTAGCAAGTGCTCATTTTCCACTAATCGGAACAGGAAAATTAGGACGAATTTCAACAGAAAACCAGTTTTCAAACCACATTAGCATTAATGTGAATCAAATCAAACCAAATTAGCATTAATGTGTGCTTCGCTGTCGCCATTGTTATAAATAAATTATCTCACTTAACAGATTGTGTGTGTAATTCTTGTTGGCGGCGGAAAGTATGAAATTTATTTCAGTTATGTCATTCAGTAAAGAACTCGACAAAAGAAGACAGCGTTTAGAGTCCAGATCTTTTCTGGTTCCGTTTTCCGTCTTCTGTATCACTCTCTCAGCGAACCCCTGGAAATCGCAAAGTTTTCGAATAGGCCTACATGCAACTGCCTCCAGATCTTCATCCCGAAAAGCGCTGTTTTGTTCAGCGCAAGACCAGAGTCAACATCAACCAAAAGATGATTTTCTTGGGGACATATAACGTATCAAGCCTGTTTGAAATTAATGAAACCCAAATAAAGGTTTATACTATACTTTACCCCAGTGTTAATGTTGCTATTCCAACACTTCACGATAAACAATCCTCGTAACCCCGTTGGCATAACAGAAAAAACATCTCTTTCTTCAAGTAAACGATAAAGTGTCTGTTCTTGTTCCATTTTTAATCGAAAAAGCGATCAGATCCAATTTTTATAAGGTTATCGAGACCCTTTGTGATGAATCACTGATCTAATTATAGAATCCGACAGCAAACAGCCAATCAGAATGCTGCGTTTGTGGGCGAAAGCAGAAAGTACAGAATACCGGGTCGTGTTTGCAGGCACACTGTTATTTCATCCCTGGGCCTGCACGCGGGCTATATTCACCTGAGTACATTACACCAGCACAGCGGAAAAAATTCATGATTACTAGATCATATCAAAATCGAAGCAACTAGATTCAGTTTCGAAATATCACATACTCTAACCGACCTGTCCGCGTACCTCAGTTGGCAGAGCGTTCTGATAGTATTCCAAAGGTCGTAGGTTTGATTCTCACCGTGGCCAGGCATATTTTTCAAGCTTGTCTGTTGTGGATATACACTCAGAGTGACAACACAAGCATCATATTGAACTGAGTACATTACACCAACACAGAAAAAATTAATTTTGAACAATATTGTTACACTCGATTCCGGCTCAACAATATTGTTCAACATTGTTGACAAGTGTGAACAATGTGGGCCGCACAACATAGTTCAATCCTGTTAAGCAGCAGGCTCATAATCCAGACATTCCAACCACTGGGGGTAAAGATTAGGGAGACAGTTCAGTGAATTGAAATCTAGTTCTTCTGGAAAAAATTAATAAAAATTAAGTCTTCTGAAATGGCGTTTCCTGCATTTTGGGAATATGTTGTTATAAGTGATCCTATAAATTGCCATAAAGCAACTTCAAAAATGGTCAAGACAGACAATTATGTTGTTAAAAACAGTATATTTATAATAGTTTTTATGATATTTCCTGAATATTCGGAAAAATCGGGAGAATTTGATAAAAATCGGGAGACCGGGAGATTGCATGAATTTTCGGGAGGCTCCCGTTAAAATCGGGAGAATTGGAATGTCTGATAATCTTTACGCGTCAGTATTAGTAGCTTGTTTGTGCAGCGGATGACTCATCTGTTATGAACGTGTTTTGACGTCAGGTCGTAAACAAACATGCAAGCGTGTATAAAGACAACGACGTTAGCGAATTTCACTTCGAGAATAACGGAACGAAACTACTTCATTATCAAAGTTTCTGTCATCAAAATCGACAATGACTTTAATCACAGAAACTTTGACCGTGTAAGCGAACCTTTAAAGTTCAGAAGATATCTCTATTTTCGGCAAGTTGTCCGTTCGGCAAAATTTCTTTCGCAAAATGTCTTTCGGCAAAGTGTCTTTCGGCGAAATGTCCGGCCAACGAGATGTGCAATTATTGCTATAAAATAAAGAGATCTAGATCCTGTCATCTTGTCAACTGTGTAAAATTCTAAACATGCTCACCCGATGTTAGAGCCCGTTAATTTCCTGTCATTGGCGACAGGGGATTTTCGCATTACATCACGAATCAATATTTCTAATGTAAATATCTCGGCTAGTATTTACCCTCCCTCTTTAAAACAAAACCCACCATTGAAATCCTCACAAAATAACGTTTCGAACGGGGTGTCAAGTGCCGCCAAAACATTACACAAACCGAAACAATCATAGTTTATACTCACCGCGTGGCCAAACTTTCTGTATTGGATATCGAGAAAAAGTTGAATATTTTCTAAACTTTTTGTCATTTTCTAAAAGGCTATATGAGTACGTAAAACACGCTTTATATTCAAGGGCGATAGAAAGTTTCGCATGAATACGGCGAGTAGAAATATTTATTTTGAATTTACAAGATATCGGGTTTTTTACTCACACGCGCGTGTATTGCACAATACTTGGCTAATGAGGAGCTCCTTTAGCCGGGTGACGTCAAACTCACGCGTATATAGGTGCGCTTTGACCTATAGAATCACTGAGCTGTATAATAACTGGAGGACCTGCTCCTATCTCTCGTCAGTCAAAAAAGTGTTGCCAAAAACATGGCGGATTTTGACGCCATATGACGCCATTTCCATGGCAACTGGTCCGAAGACCTCATGGTAGTTACCACTGACCAGGCTCAATTCTGAACCCACGGCAGTTTTCACCCCCCCCCCTGTTTTTTGCAAAAGATATGGTTTTTGCAGATAAATATTTATAGTTCTCGTTGTTTTAAATCTTTTGTATAAATTTTGAGATATATTTACTACCTTTGACCATTTCGTTAAAGTATGCAAGTCGTACGTATTATTCTCGCCCGCGAAAGCCAAACAAAACCTCGAGAAATGTGGGAGGAGTATTAAAGACGATACTTGAGTCGGGTAAAAGGTAGGAGATATCTAGTCAATTTTACTCATTCTTTATCTTATTTGACATGAAATTGGTAAGCCTTAAGCCCGCCGCACACGAGAGCTACTTGCTGAGCTAACCGCCTCGCGAGGCGGTTAGCTCAGCAAGTAGCTCTCGTGTGCGGATAGTTTTCGTGAGGATTTGACCTCTCGAGGCCTTGAGGAAAATATCTATCGT